GTATTATTTTATAAAATTTACTATCTCGGCCAGGCATTATGTACTTTTCTATCGTCCATTCTCCGTCGTGAGCCGAGCGCACGTTAACGAGCCAGTTGCCCGACAGATGTGGCCTCTGAGGAGCAAGCAATGTTTCCCACGTCGCGGGAATCGACGAAGTAAAGCGAAGTGACAAGGTGCAATCGAGTGACAAAGAATTTAGAATAAACGACTTAAAGAATAATTATTACTTCATTGTCAGTTTCTGATGTTAAAGACGAAAATACGTGTTCTTAATATTTTGTACACGCGATATTGTTTAAAACATGAAGTCTACGATATATTTGACGATTCGTTCGAGTATTTTTGGTAAATAACACGTAGAAAATTGTGTCTAATATTACACGCAGCAATATTCGAAAGTTTTATACATCTCAGAAATTTCGGAACTAAATGAAGCATTTTATGGAAAAGATAATAAAGATAGTAGATTAAATAAATCTCTAATTTTGCATGTTTCCATCTCTATTAATACTAAAATAATAACATGTACCTTTTCTTGTATTATGCATTTTCCAATTTAAAAACAAAAAAAAACCAACACTATTACAAACACTATTTACATCGAAATAAATACTGAATTCAATTCATTAGATTCGATCCACAAGCAACAAATTTGCTTACCTGTTGACGCCTATGGGAATCAACGTGAACGTAGTAGATACAGAAAAAAACGACGATCTGTTAAACTCAGTAATGATGAAAATTTAAAAACAGTCATCGACCCAAGAAAAAAGGGAAGAAAAGGACGAGAAATTCTGCATTGCTCAACGACGTGACCAATTCATGGTAGAAAGTTTCCACGACGTTTTCTCAATCCGTACACGTTGTTCCCCAATTATCAACCCATGTTGTAGTCTAATTGTAAAGTATATCCAGGCGTAGATCGATATCAGACGCACAGTTATCCGTCGCAATTAAAAAGAAGGAAGAGAGGCCTCAGAAGAGAGTTTTCTCAAAACCGTGTTCCAAACAAAGCGTGACGAAAAGTCCGGGGGCCGGCATAAATCTCGCATATTCTGCTTCTTACGGCCGTGCAGGACGGCGGCCAGTTTCCCTCGACGTCTAAGAAAAGCAACGCGCTCGCTCGCTTGCATTAAAGAGCAATTAGCCGCGGCTCGCGAGCACGCTGATGCCCGGAAGCGATAGAAGCGGGCCGCGCGTGCCACCCTTACCTTTTCTTCGTCTATGAACGCGTACCTGTTCGTGCCCGCGTACATCCACACCGATCCTCGTCCAGCCGTTTTACCTGCAGGCTCGCTCGCCTCCCGGCCATCCGAAGAAGTTTCTCCCTCTTTCCTGCTGGAATTATTCACGTATCCTCCGCTGCTTTAGAACTCCGTACCTATGCAGATGAAGAAAAGACGATTAATCTAGCCTCTCACAAAGGTGAATTATAAATAAGAGGATGCAATTTGATGATATGCTGATACGCAAGTGAAAAGTTTTCGAGGCAGCACGGTTGAAAGAAAAGAAGGTTGAAAGAAAAAGTTTGACTAGAAATTTTTCTACCGTGCTGTCTGTGTATTAATTTGGAACTGAGTTATCGAAGAATTGTTAAAGATATTCAATCATGTTAAAAAGAAGAAGATTTCTCTTTCCGTATATTAATACCAAAGAATCTAACGGACAATGGACTTAGATCCACTAAAGTAGAGAAAATTTAAATTATTAATGTAAATTTAAATTAAAATTGAAAAGAAAAAAAGAATTCTACTATCCAAGAAAAGTTTGACAAAAATCTATCCAAATAAAGAGAATTTCTATTCATATCTGCAGCATCAATTCCGAATTAATTAGAAAATTATTTGAAAATCATAATTACTAATGAGATAATGATTCTAAACATTTAGTGTTAATGAAGAGTTAATGGTTAGACTGCTAAGATCTTTCTACCTACTTTTACTTCAAAATTATTCACCTTATTAACAGACAAAGAAGAAACAATTAATCTATGCCTCTAGAAAGATGGATCGTTGGTGGATTTAATTTGAAAGTATGCAAAGAATATATTGAGAAGTGGGTTTAATGATTTAGATTAAAGAAAATTTTAAATGTGAAATATATGAATTTATTTTCAATATTACTATGCTAAATAAGACATAAAACACGTGAATATTACCCCATATCCATGCTTTATTCTTCGTCCGCATATTCTCCATCTGTTTAGGGATCAAATGAAATAGGGTTTATACTAATATTAAAGAGGAAGTTGGACCATCAGATATACCAAATAATTATGTATCTCAATTTCAATGTTTTTAAGAGACATTTTCCTACCCGCTATATATAATATAAAAATATCTCTGGAAAAAAAAAAGAACAAGCTCAAGATTGTCAAAAAAAATGAATTGAAAAGACCAAGTGAATTGTTACATGATTCTTTCTTCACGAGGTTATAACAGTTTAAAATATCGACAATTTTTCATCGTTATCGCTTCAGTTACTGATAATACTGATTTTTTTCTTCTTCAAGAAACAAGATATCGCAGGTTTCCTGGTTCTTTATTCTCGACTCTTCGCCGATGTCTCGGTTTGCTGGCGTAACAGCTCGCTCAATTACCGTCGCAGATAATCATTATCACGGAAACTGCATCGCCGGGCCTCATTGCCCCAATCCTTAATTAACCGGCAGCCAGACAGTAATTGGTACGAGCCGGTGTACGACACCCGATCCATTGGCGAGAACGAAGGGCACGTGGTAAATAACGTACGCATATATACGTCCATCGACTACACAGTCTGCTTGACTTGCAGTCCCTTTCTTTTGCCCTGCGAACAACCGTAACGATCGGACACGGGCTAACTCGATGAATGGATAAGAAATCGGTGATCCTTCATCGCGTACGTCGAGTTTATATTATAATTTGTAATGGCCGGTACGAACGAACGGCTTTGTTCAGGGGAATATTGACATTCTCATTCTGAAACTTAAATCTCTATGTAGCTCTTTTCTTTTTTATTATCATTATTATTATTATTATAGAAGATTATTATTATTTTTTTTATTTATTATATCATATTTATTTTATTTATTATATTTTATTTTTATTATAGATTTTTTTTTTATTTCTATTATAGATTTTTTTTTTATTTTATTATTATTATTATAAACTAGAATAAATTTTGTTTTCTTGAATATTTTATATGTACAATATTTTCAAAATACGAAGATTTGTATTATGTAAAAGATCACTCAGCTCTAGGAATATTTTCTACAGAAATCATTTAATTTTGTATGTTATATAATAAGAAATTAAACATATCGACATTACATTTAAATATTATAGTGACGTAATTTAAAAAAAATAATATTCTTCATACATTTAAGAAGAATACACTTATCTCACAATTATCCAATCAATGTCATTAATTCACCATAATTGACTAAAACAACGGACTAACGAATAGAATCTACTTATAACGATCGTACACGTATTGTTCCATGAAATAGTCCATAAAATGTTGCAGACAGTTTTCAAAGACTGGTTTTCTTCACAACTCGCCTCGAAAACGATATAGGAAATCGACCGTTTCGAAAATTTCCCTCCGAAGAAATGAAACGTTACCCGAGGGCTGCCGAGTGATATGCAAATAGCGTCGTAATAATTGTTAGACAGCTTAATTATTAGCCTGGGAACATCTTTGATTGGATCAGGCGGGGAAAAAAACTTCCACGAAGATTCTCGTATACCTGACCACTCGATGGCGTTCTTCTTCTAGCGCAATATTCTTCGGCGTGTTTCGATAAAACGCAGGATGAGTTTAATACCGCAAGTTGCACGTGCGTGCGGCTCACGCGGACGCGCACGCATGCTACAGCGGTTAATTGTAATTTATACCCAGGGACGACTTGGGTCCGCGTCTCATGCGGTTGCTTCATTTATATCGTCCGCGCTTTTTGTCTCCGTAACCGTTTGATTAATTTTGCGAAATAACCCGTTTAATTAATCGGCCACTGACTCATAAAACACGTGCCCCATCGAGATATTATCCAACACGAAACGACTGTAGTCCTATGCTCTCTTCGCTTCTCTGTACGCTAAAATTGATTACCATACAATTAACGATCATGTAATAATTCGACTAATAGTAGATTTTCAACGTAAGATTTGCTACAGTAAGAAATTTGTAATTTAATATATACGTTTGTTTTGTTGCATTTCTTGAACAGTTAAAGCACCGTCGAGCCGCAAAAATAAAAGATCTAAATATTACCCTTGGTTAGAAGAATCTGGAATTGTCCGTAAAATTCCTACGAAATACAAAAATCAAATTTACTACTTACGAAACTTTTACATTTCAGCAATTTCGTAATGCCTTTATTTCCGCGTTTGTGCATTTCTTTTGAACGGCTCGATTTCCTGCGGATCTCGCTTTGTTTCGATCGTTATTTAAGAGAGAAAAAAGAGCGTGCCAATCGAACCTCAGCGGCGTAGAGCTCGGCAAGACTACCTACAAACAAGTACCGACGATTATTGATAAAAGATCGGTTCGACTGCCATAAAGCAAAGTGCACGAGGCTCCACTTTATGCTGATCGATTTGTGGTGATTTTATAACTTTGCTTGTCCATAGTAGTTGGCGTGCGGTTCAAACGAGCCGCGATATTTTATATCTGCCGCACGGACTCAAAACGGAGCTTTACATATTCCACTGGAAACAGCTGGAGCACGTAGTTTTTGTTTCAAAAAGTTCCTTTGTGCTGCGATCGAATTACTGTTCGTATTAAACATGCAAACTTGAGTAAAGGCTGTCGCTTTATTCTTTAACACTTTATAGAATCATTTAATAATTTATAGAAATTATTCTTTATTCTTTAACACTTTATGGAATCACTTTAATTTATAGAAATTATTCTTTATTCTTTAACACTTTATAGAATCATTTTAATTTATAGAAATATATATATATCTTCATTTTTATTGTCTGATTACTTTTATACAATAATACATAATATATTCTTAATGTATAAAAGTGATTTTTAATGTTACTTTATTACTAAATGAAAATCATAATAATAAAATTTTTTCATAATTCCCTTGTACTGTATAAACAATATTACACAATTAATGATTGTAATAATCACTGGAACTGTAAGTTTTCTATATATCATTGTAAAGTTGGAGAAATAATATAATAATTCATTATAAATGAATTATTATAAGTTTCAATTCATTATAAGTTTTCATTACAAGAAATTCATTATAAGTTTCATATTTTTGAGATATTTCTCCTGTGATTGTTTCTTCTCAGAAGAAACTACATTCTAAGGCACATTTGATGCAAATATACACATGCCAAAGCTGCCATAAACACTATCTGTTGAAATTGTACGTACAAAATTATATCTGCTTTATCTAAAATCTATATATTTAACATAATTGTGGAGATCAAAATATGTATAGTCGAATAGTCTCATTGACTCTTCGTGATGTATTATTTTCAATATATATTTATATTAATAAGAATATATGTTTGTCAGGAACACTTTATATAGGACATTTCGATTCCGTTGAACCCTCTGATTCTGCAGATAGATCTTTAGCTGCCAGAGCAAGAACTTCTTCGCATACTCGCTTATAAACCCATGCATCACCCTTTAAACGTTTTCTTCGAATACCGACTAATTTTTCATTTGAAACACCCTCTAATAAACAAACTTCTAATTCGAAGGAACAAGCATTTCTGGATGAGAATGGTCGCACGCTATCTTTGTTATTTTCTGTACAATCTTCTGTTTCTCCTTGCAGGATAAACCTATGGAAATATTTTCATAATAGAAGTATTAACATTTCTAAGCATTACCCTTTTCACGTTATTAACATTTCTAAGCATTACCCTTTTTGATGACACATGATTCCTTTACGACGAAGAGCACGACGTAATTGTGAAAGAACATATTTCGGATCATCGTTGGATGTTGATGATACATTACAAAGACCCTTAAAAAATAAAATCATTATAATAAATTTAATTTAGAACTTATACAAATAATTAGATAAGTACCTTTCCAGAAAGTACATTAGGTTGCTCAGGATCGGTATTTTCACTTTTCACGCGCCTTTTTGGAGTCAAAACGCATCGCATTCGATTTAAACCACGTTCCAGACCCATTATTACTTTTCTTGCACTTCCCGGTGTAGACGATTGCGATCCCCTAAATATTATTTTTTTTCTTGAATATTTTCTTTAACTATTATTTTGTTGTTATTATAATTACTATAATGATACCTTGATAAATATTACAATATTACCTTGATTCCAATCCTGTATTAGTTGGAGTATCAGTTGGAGTACAAACAAGCCTATCTTTTTCTGCAACTCTCTTTGTAGGAACTGGAAACAATTTTTTTATTAATCATTACATAAGTTGCACGTAAAATTGAAGTCACATAAAAAGTATGAATAATTAAAAATTAAAAGGAACTGAGAAAAAGAGATAAGAAATAGTAAAAAGGTATTATATCTTGCAGAAAGGAATGGGATAAAGCATTCTTATAAATAGCTATTTGTAACTCCAAATTGTGTTTGTTTGCAAGTCGTTGGTCTTCTTTAATTATCTGCTTTTCACGCAACCACAGCAATTTATGGTACTTGGAAACTTTAATTAAAGTTTCTAATTAGATGGCTAGCATCACCTAATTAGAAGTAAACTTTAGAAAATATGTTATAAAGCTAAGTAGTACGGCTATAATAAAAGACAAAAACTTTTGAAAGTTGTTTAATGAAACAAAATGAGTATTGTGAATCAAATTTTTCGTAATAAAAGAGAATTTTGCGAAACATACCAGGAGAATATCCTTCATCTTCATCCTTACTTCGAAGTCGTTTTCTACCAGGCAAATGTGGTTCTGTGAAGTCGTTAGCTAGATAAAATATAATAACATAATTTTTTAACCTAAAAAAAAAGAACATGTAAAAAACTAGTACAACTTACTGGCATCAGGAGATTTTGGTAAAATTTTGTAAGTAGCATCTGTTACTGGTGATCTAATAGATTTACTTCTTGGAGAACAATCAAGTTTAGTTATGATACTATTACCTTCTCCCTCACACTACAGATAATAAAATATTAATTCTAACTTAGTTTCAAAGATATATTTAAACCATGTCTTATTGCATTACCTCAGATTTAAAATGAGATTTTGCAGAAGATGATATTCGAAGTGAAAGTCCGCGAAACTTTCTGTCTAAAAGTAAAAGATATGTGGCAGTCTTGTAATCAGTTCTATCACTTTTTACAAGTTTTCTCCATATATCTGAAGTATGTTCGCCGCATATTGCAGACATAGTACTTAGTACGTCATCGTCCTTTTCAAACTGTAATTTTTGCTTATTAAAAAATTGAAATATGTACATACATTATTGTATAGAAAAATTATTTACATTGGTTTTATGAATAAATGAAACAGGATTAAGAAATCCTGCTGTAATCCACGGATGATTGCACAATTCCTGAATAGTAATTCTTTTTTTTGGATCTATCTGTAGCATTGCTCGTATCAGTCTTTTACTACTACTTGATAACCAGCTTGGTTCATCATATTTACCACTCTAAAATTATTACTATTATTAATATATATTTATCAATATCATTATTTATCAATAATATATTTTCGAACTAAAAAATTTTACAAGGATCTTTCTATATAAATTTTCTATACTATTGTCATCAAAGGGGAGAAAACCACAAAGTAATGCATATAGTAAGACTCCCATACTCCATATATCTACTTCTGAACCTATAAAAAAATATTAATTTTATTTTCAATATAACATTAATTTGGTATATTAAGTTAAAATTTAAATATTAAAGTATTACCTAAATATTTCTTTCCTAATATAAGTTCTGGAGCTGCATATGTCGGAGAACCACAAGATGTTTGTAAGTGTGAATCTATCCCATTTTTTGGTTTTGCACATAATCCAAAATCTATGAGCTTTAAGTTCTCGTCTCTGTCCAATAGGACATTTTCCTGCATACAAAATAATTATTATTTGCTATTTATACAAATATATTGAATCAGAAATATATTGAATCATAAAACAAAAGATAACTTACTGGTTTTAAGTCACGATGAGCATATCCTAAACTATGTAAATATGCCACTGCAGATACAATTTGGCGAAAAAATTTCCGCGATTCAGTTTCAGAAAGCCTATTTTTCTCGACTACAATATAAATAAAATCATAATTTTTGTTACTCCCACTAAATTTAGGTAATAAAACAAAATAATAAAAAAAGTCAAAGGTTAAATTAATATATAATACTACCAATATGATCAAATAGTTCTCCTCCTGAACAGTATTCTATTACCATAAAATAATGACTCTCTGTTTCTATTACTTGGTACAATCGACAAATATGTTGATGTAATAAAGTTTTTAATGCTTGGACTTCTAACTTAACTCTTGGCAAATCGTTCTAAGAATTAAAAAATTTATTTACGATTTTATTATGTTTTATTATCATAGATTTATAAGATTATAAAAATCACTTACGCCCAATGATATTTTGTCCATTATTTTGATAGCAACTTTTTCGCCGGTTGCAATATGTGTAGCAAGTTTAACTTTAGCGAATCCTCCACTTCCGATAGTCTTTTCCAAATCGTACAGGCCTTTGAGCGCAGCATATCGTACCATTGTAATAAGTTTATGAAAAATTCACTGATAAGTATATATTAATTATTCGCTGTCAATTACATCACTTTTTTGAATTCACAAATTTTAACGTAAACAAGATTTAAAAGCCAATCAAAGTAAATTTATATGGAAAGCTATCTTCAGAGCATTAATAGTACCAATATAAAAATTGAAAACTTTTGGGGATATCACATATTACAGGTTAGAGGCTTTTATTTCGATTGTAATTTCTGTTGGTAATTAAAAATAATCTTATAAACGTAGAATATAATACTTCTTGTTTATTTTGAATAATGATTACACAACATATTAATATAAATGTTTTTTTTTTAAATTATATGAAAATTACAATTATTTTCATTTTATCTAAACTTTCATAACTCTCTATGAACAGTCTCACAAAATAAAATATAATCCCATTTATAAATTTGAATGTTTACGTACGAAAAAGATATAGCTGTAAAAAACAATCTCGAACGCAATTTATAGATATATATTAATCACTAACTATAAAAGTATTTTTAATTTACAGTATGATGATATATATAAAGTAGATGTATTTAATGTTAAATATTTCAGTTTTATGTTACTTTATAGAATTGAACAAACAATTATAGAATTCAACGTATTATATTTTGTAGAAATATCAAAATTATTATCATAAAAGACAATTCTAATTACCAAAAAATTAAAGTTTATGTTTGAACATCGTATTTTATTCAACTATTATAAACTTAAACTTTCCTATTACATAAATTTGTATGCTATGAAGAAACAAATTCTAACAAAAAATTTGAAAACATAATTGTACTTTACTTCATAAATTATATTTTCTCTTGTATTATGGAGAAATGATGGTAAAGAAATTGCATTTAGTCTTTGGAGTGCTGACTACTAGAACTAGTTGAACGTGAGCGGCGTTTAAATTTTGGTTGATTATTAGAATCTGAATTATTATCACTTTTTCTTCGATTTTTATCATAACGAGATGAATTCATATCCGCATCGTAGTTAGAATTAGAATTATTCGTTCTTCTGTAATCATTGCGTCTATCGTTATATCTATAATTATCTCTGCCAGGCCTGTTGATCCTATATGAATCTCGTCTTCGAGGATAATAATTTCTTCTATTTCTCCTATCACGACTGTTTCTACGATCATAATCTCTATCTCGAGATCTTCGTCGATCTCGTGATCTAGATCGACCACTTCCATGTCTTTTACTCCTATCGCGCGATTCTCGCCGTGAAGATCTATCACCATACGATCGATGTAAATCACGTTTAATTATTTTTTCGTTTTTATGTTTTCCATCTACTTTATCTTTTGTAATGGCGTCATTAACATCTGTACTAGTATTTAAGTTATCCTGATCCTGATCCACATTTTTATTGACACTCTTTTTATCGTCTGACTGATCATTTTCTTTATTTTCTAACTCTTCAGTTACATGTGCTTCGACATCAAATTTGTCCACTACTTGATTATCTTCATCAGGATTTTCGGTAAATTTTTTAATTCTATCGGCTTCACGTTTCTTTAATTCTTCTTCTTTCTTTAATCGTTCTTTCTCTAATTTCTGTAATGTAAATTAGAATACACAAATATATAATTATAATATAAGTAATTATACTATACATACCTGAAATTCATGTAACTTAATAGTACGATTTTGAGCTTGTTTCCAATGAGGTGGTGTGACACTTCTCGAACGACTACGTGAAGGTGTATGATATCGCTGAAAATATGTTTATTTATTTTTATTTACCTTCCATTGTTTGAATGTTTCAAAAATATTTTAAGAATGAAAGGTGTTTCAATACATTTCATTTACAAAGTTTATACATACCATTATTTATTTTCATACAAATACTTACAAATATTCCTCTTCCTTTAAATATGCGACCAGTTTTTCTATGTGATCGTACCCGATCCCTTCCATAATGTTGCCTAAATTCTTTTTGATTTGCATTATTAGTAGGTCCTGCTCTATACAAAAATTTATTTGCTGGTACTTCAGGTATTTCATCAGGATCAATTTTTGTAACTGAAACTAAAGGATGAGGTTTTCCAAGATCATCTTCATTCGAATCGTGAATTTCACCATCTTCTGATTTTGTTCTTTTTTTGCTGCAACATAAATAAATATTTTATATATTTCGTATTTTTAAAACTATTTTGTGTTACAAAACTTGAATAGATTATACTTTTTCTTGGCCTTTTTTTTCTTCTTAGATTTCTCTGCATATGAATCAGAATCAGATTCAGACGAACTGCTGTCCTTCGTTTCACGTTTCTTTGCTATAAATAAGTATAATTAACTTTAATTACAATCAATAATTATATTAACGTTGCAGCTTGTAATAACTGAAACATACTTTTACTTTTAACTTTCAATACAAGTTCTCCACAATTTACAACCTTCGCATCTTGTAAGGGTCGAGACATACGGTCTACTGGAAGTCCCTCAATATGTGTAACAATTTCCTGGCCAGACACTACTTCTCCAAAAACCACATGGACACTAAAAATTTAATATTTCAATATAAAAAGTACTGTTCAAAAATCATTTTAATAATCGAAACATTATTTTGCTACTTACTTGTCGAGGTGAGGCGCTGGTTGTGTTGTACTACAACAACAAAATATGATTAAGGGGATGAGAGATGAACAGAAAGAGCCAGCTTTCATTGGTCATTGTGTTGTAGCAGTGGTGTGCAGACCCTTCCCTCACGACTACACAGAAATATAGCTAAGTTATTCATTCCTTCAAAGATATTTTTACTCCTACACTTTTCAGTATTCACGGGAAAAATTAAGTGTTTCATACAATTTATTAAATACTGAACAACTTTACAATGACATGATTAACATCAATAGAAGATAAATTTATTGCTAAAATTAACAAACCCAATTATCCTTCTATTTAATAATATCACCTGTTATTTATTTGGAACATATTTAAATATATATTAGCATGGAAAAATGTTGAGATGAAAATAAATGTATATTAAATTCCTATTACCTTTACCTTTGAGGTTGACAAAGTATACATCTGTCTGCAGAGAAACATAATTTTGAGCCAGTAGAAATATTAAAAAATAAAATTTATACACAAAAGAAAGTTCTCTTTGCAATATTAACCTTTAACAAACTGATCACTTTTGTTAATACATGCAAAATAAATATTTAGTAAAAGAATATAATACATCTGATGATTTTTAAAGGCTACATCTAGTGTATGTATATTACACCATCCTGCACTTTTCTTTGTTTATAAATGTAATCGATTGTTTCATTCTATTTAAATATTTTTATATTATATTATATTACAGATATTATATTATATATTATATTATATACAGTTTGTATACTTCTTTTTTAATAATAAATACTCACATAAAAAATTGTGAACCATTTGTATCTCTGCCACGATTTGCCATAGATAACAAAAATGGTTTATTATGTTTTATAATAAAATTTTCATCTGAAAAATATTACTGTGAATAATATTCATTCTTCATCATAATAAGCAAAATGTGTTTGTAAATATACCTGCAAATGTTCCACCATAAACTGACTCTCCTCCAGTTCCATTACCTACTGAAAAATCACCACCTTGAATCATAAAATCCTTAACTACTCTATGAAAAACAATTCCTTTATAGTGCAACTGCTTGCTAGTTGTTTTTCCAAGTCCTTTTTCTCCAGTACAAAGTGCACGAAAATTTTCACATGTTATTGGACAAATGTCTGCAAACAGTTCAAACACTATGCGACCCATTGGGAGTCCGCCCACTTCTATATCAAAGAATACTCTGGGATTAACATTAACCATAGTTTCTTCCTTTATATATTCCTAAAAATAATAACAAGTATAAAATTCACATTTATTATGAATATTATATAAAAATATGATAAAAGTTTTTGATTCACAGTCTTAATTAAATAATACAATTAAAAATTACAAATCACTAAGAATGTACTAATGAAATCTGAAAGTAATTCACATTAATATAATGATTAAATATTTATGCAAAAATAGATTTTTACCGTTATATTAAAAAATAAAAATCCAGATGAAATTTAAGAACCGAAAATTCCGAAGTAAGGTTAGAATCGCTGTGCAATTATTTCTCTTAGTATACTACCTATTTATTAAAATGCACGTAGTATTCTAATCATTTTATGTCAGTACAACGTTATTATATTAATATGGTAATATTAACAATATTCGATTAACGTAATCATATAATTACTCATAAGCCCGATCACCCGGTGCCATATTGTTGAATTCATGCGAGTATTGTTAATATTTTACGCATGGTTGCCAACAAAATATCTCAACATACTTTTCCTCTATATTACTATACAATTAATTTATGCTTGATTTACGTGTAAATACATGTAAATACGTGTTATGTTATGTATTTTTTTTAGATAAATTTTACTTGATTAAAATCTGCAGAAATTTATCTTCAAGTCTAATGTTTTATTTTAAATAGAAGATTGTAGTATATCATTTTTAATATTTCCATTTTCAGTTAAATCAGGGAATTTTATAAACGATATTTAAAATATCTATACCATTTTACGCATTAAAATTTACGTTCTTTCATTGCTAAATCAATCGATTAATTTGAATAGAGATAACGTATAAATGATAATGTGATTTTTTTATACTATTAAAATCCTTTCATAAAAAAGATATGAAATTAATCAGCTGATTTATAATGATAAGCTAGGGAAAAACGAAAAAATCACCAATTTGTTCACACACACACAATAGTAAGTGTTGGTAAACGAATAGTGATGGTATGAAAACCATGAACCCAGAACAACTGTTTCACTAGGAAGATCAACAGTGTAGTATTCGATCAAATGAACCTTTGACGCTACAAGCTTGTAAATATTAAACTTTAATGAAGTTATTGCAACTCATTGAAGTCGTTAATTAGAATAACTAAATGTTTTTTTTAAACAAAGTACAAAATTAGATTAATTAGCAATTTCTTTAAGAACGTTCTAATATTTATTCACATTTTGATTCATTGTTAATAGTAACGTCTAATATTGTTAGTATATTTTGAACGTAATTTCATTAATCCACAAAGTACTTAACTTTTTTTTTTAGGTAAGTCATATTAGCCATATAATCATGGCTATTTGTTCACTATAAATGTTTTAATTTTAAAATATAACAAATCCAATACACTTAGAAGTTTCTACAAAATTAAGTGAAAATATATCAAGTAAATATTTAAAATGTTTTACATGTGCATATATTGCAATGTAAATTCAGACAATAAATTTAGACATATATGTAATAGCATAAACATTATAGGTGCATGGACCACGCAAAATTAAACCAATATAATGCAGCCCCAACTAGCAACAACTCCACGGAAATTACCAGTATTTGTATTTCCTCAAAGTATTACTTTCTTTTTAGACGATCAGTC